AAAAAAAAAAAAAAAAATTACCACCACGTGCATCGCGTGAATTTTACTATTTTGTTGAACAAGTTGCTTAAATATACATATATTGAGTTTTGATTAGCTTTTTTGATTGAATTTTACTAGTTTGTTGAAAAAGTTGCTTGAATATAGATATATTGAGTTGCAAGAAAAATAATACGCAAAATACCAATAAAAAAAACTAAAGCAAAATAATAGATTAAAGCCCTTCCCAAAGCTGGACAACCGCATCAAGCGGAACATGACAGCGACACCCACGGTCGACCATCAAACCGGACCATACCACGGCTCGAAATCTAAAACCAGAAACTGCAACGCACGCGCAACCAGTTCGGAACCCAAGACCCAACCCCGCACCCGAGCGGCCAAAACCAACCCTCAGCCGGAGAACAGCGTGCAAACCCCCCACCACACCACCAAATCCAACCCACACCAAAGCCCTGGCTCGAACCGCCGACCATCCCCTCATCCCTAACACCAGGGGAGAGGAGGACAAGAGGGAGAATACCCGACCGTCTCCGCCCCAACACCGACACACGGCACACGGAACCCAGACTCGCCCCCGAAAGAACACCACAGTTAAAAGTGAGTTATATTTTATGCTATTGGATTTTCTTTGGATCTATATCTATATCCAAGCAGTCAATTAAACACTTATTAAACCAGCTAACAATTAGACCTACATAATATTAGTCTTACCAACCACAAAAACATATGCAAACGAAGAAAAAGAACAAGAGGAGGAAGAGAACTGATGAGTTCCTCCAAAAAATGTCCTCCAAACTTACAACAGTTGACGACACAAAGGCAGTATTACTACTGCTTAACATTATTTATCAAGAACATATGTATATAAGTGTGATGATATACTAGTCTACAGCAGTATTTGTGCACAACAGTCTGTTAATATATACATTACAACACAGGCAGCTTTTTCTATCAGCCGATCGAACTCCATCGTAGCCAATCAACCGAACAACAAACTGCCCAACGTATAGAAAAACAAAAAACAAAGTATGAAATAAAATCATTTTATACGTTCCAAGTTATAGTTCACCACTCGCTCAAGCGCTTGCCTGAAGGGACTTTGCGGAAGGCAGTGCAGATTACAGACTGCCTGATCAGCAATTTCCCGGGCCAGATCACGGGCCCGGTCAATACCCCCACAGTTCTTGACTAAATCAATGGCCTTTTCAAGCGAGCCCGACTCGGAAAATTCGGTCTCAATTATGTCCCTCAGCCGCATCTCCTTTTCCAGGGTGAAAATAACAGGAGCAGTCAAAATACCCTTTGCCAGGTCACTCCCGGCAGGCTTGCCCAGCTGCTCGGCCGACTGGGTGAAGTCCAAAATGTCGTCAACGACCTGAAAAGAGAGGCCGAGGTTCTTTCCGAATTGGTACATCTGCTCGGTTATATCAGTATGGACCGAGCTGAAGACGGAGGCTCCTTTGGTGCTAGCGGCTATTAAGGAAGCTGTTTTGTAGTAGCTCTTCATTAGGTACTCGTCAAGCTGGAGATCACAGTCGAACCGGCTGGACGCCTGTTTTATTTCGCCACGAGCAAAGTCTTTGATGACCTGGCTTATGAGCTTGATAACTTCGAGATTTTCAAGATTTGCTAGGTACCATGATGACTGGGCGAACATGAAATCCCCGGCCAGAACAGCCACTCTTGTGCCATATAATTGATGAACAGTTTCCTGTCCTGAAGAAGTAAATAAATATGTCAGAATGTTTTACTTTATTCAAACGGAAAGCAGGAAAAGTAAGATAGCAGCCCAATTCTGCAAATGCAACCACATTTTTTGCCTAAAAATTTGAATCTCGGCAAGCACACATTATCTATCAGCTGCATTTTTAACCTTTTAATAAATGGAAAGTGTAATATGAGTAATGACGATTCATGGGATGTTCTGTTTGACAGAAAGTATGAAATCCTACCTCTCCGCATGTCACTTTCGTCTAATACATCATCGTGTATCAGACTTGCAGTGTGAATCATCTCAATGATCTCGGCCAACCTTCTATGTTCTTTCGTGAGTTCCCTAAACAATGAGAGCATGCAATTTATAATAATAGCTTAAAGTTAAACCTCAAAAGTAAGTATAAAGTGTGTATTTGATGATATTACTCACGACAAACCAGCAATCTCTGCCGTGGCTCTTGCAACTAGAAAAACTAAAGCTGGTCTAATCCTTTTCCCACCGGCTCCAAATATTTGCTCGGCAGCCGACATCAAGACAGGATTATCTGAACCAACGATCTGATGGTGGTTTATATCAAGTTAAATTTTAGACTCCAGTTTCAAAAACAATAAATACAGTTGATACACAAATACAGATTTCGTACTTATAACGAACAACAACTTGGCAAAGTCAACCGTTAACAAAATCATAGTTCTTTTTATGGACTAGCAATGATAGCAGCAACATCTTCACCACAAGACCATAATAATTGCTTCCTTTTCAAATATCCGTATATCGACACTGAAACTTTTATGGGTATTGACTAAGTACATAGGCATGTTTTTCTCTCCTCAACACAAAACTATAACCCTGCATCTGTCAATGTCTACGGCCCATGTTAGGACAATACATAGAACGAATGAACTGTTTCACACGCTCACACCACAAAAACTGAAACGAACGATCAGTTACTATCATACCAAAATGGATATCAAAGAGAAAACTCTGTCACAACTCCACCTCGCAATACAGGTAATGAACTGTATCACAGAACATAAAAGCAATGAAACAAGGAAAAAAAAAATAGAAACTCACAGACTGCAGATTCTTGTTGAGCGTAACTAAATCTTCGGCAACCACTTCAAACATATCAGACATTGCAAAGCCACTCGTCTCTTTAGTCGAGTCCGGCACCGGAGGAGGACCAGCTGCAGTCCCTATACATTTCGCCCAAAAACTATCACAAACTCTAAGATTCTCCAATAAATACAGAAAACAACCAAATTACAATCAAACTATGATATCAATTACCACTAAGAAAAGCCTCAGAGGTCTGGGACGAGAAGACGCGGCACCGGCCAATGTCGTGCCCTTTGGAGGCCCTACGGACATTTCTAATCACACCATTTGCACGTCTTTTCAACAACAGACGATCAAACGACGAATTAGACGAGCTCCCGCAAGACAAGGAGTCCAACCTCGTTCTTACAAACTCAAGACTATGGCATGTTGTCACTAACATCATCCCAACAAGTAAAGATACCCCCCAAAATATGCACAAAAAGAACAAAGATGCAAGCTTTATCTCTAAAATCAAGAACCCACCTCAGAAACCTGGCTAAAATCTCACTTCACAAAGACCCACTAGCAAGAAGCTACCAAAAATTGAATCTTTAACGATAAATGCACTAATTAACCTGAAAAAGATTCGGTGGTTTACTAAACTATGACCCTTTCTCCTTTCTGACAGAGAGGAGACGAAGAGCAAGTATAATTTCAATACAGAGGATTAGACACAGCTGAATATATGTACATAAGTAGCGAAGTTTTAGTGGAGCAAAAATTGCGGCCCCAAACATCGACTTCATTTCAATTATCTTTTTTTCTCCCCCTTTTATTTAAGCGCAGACAACATACATAATGGTTGCTTTTTTTTTTTCAGTTTTATGAAAATTAATAAAATTTTGAGAGGAATAAGAAACACGGATAGGGTTGTGGATCTTATGTATCTACAGGTCATGGCTACAAGTCAATGTCTATGTGTGTGTGTGTGCGCGCGCAAGAAACAACGTAGTACAGCTTGGTGGTGGTGGCTGGTAATATGGTGGCTGGTAATAAGATGAATAGTGTGGTTTCATTAGATTAGAACCAAGAAAATGAATGAATCTAAAGAGAGCACATAAATGTCAAACTTGCTACGTTGCGGATTTCTATTGCTTCTATAGTGACAGTTGCTTGATCTTATATATGGCAGATTCGATGGGGGTAGTGTCCCGTGGGGTTTTAGCCACACACACCCACATGAGTGTGTATGAAACATGTGGTTAAAAATTCATAGGGACATTACCCCATGGGGTAGGATCGAATTTATTCTTATATATTTAAGCCTCGTTTATTTTCTGGGATAGGATTATACATAATAATCCTCACAACTTTACATGTCATCATTTAGTTTAACGTTTACTTTTCGGGATGGAATTGGCAGAAACGTATCTCACATTTACTTCGATTGATTAAATCAGCCATTAACAACACAAAAAACTTCTATACCCTTATGTACCATTTGTATTTCTCCTCAAAAGGCACGATGCAAATCGCCTGTTCTTAAAATTACTTCAGTCGAGGACAAGCGACAAGGAGAGGCGACAACCAAATCCGCTTCAACCTTGTTAGAATATCACTTGTGAGTTGTCCCACATCGTTCACACATAGAAAAATATCAGGACTCACAAGTGAGGGGGCGTGTTAAAATATCACTTGTGAGTTTTCCCACATCGTTCACACATAGAAAATAGACCCACCTTATAAGTCTAATGGGCTACTCCTCCTTTCACCAATTGGTTTTGGGATGGAACCTCATTTGGGCTTCATATGGGCTTTCCTTTTCCCCCAGTTTCTTACAGGGTATCAGAGCCAGGTTTGAGACATGATATCAGAGCCCACTTTGTGCCTGGGTTAGAGACATGATATTAGAGCCCGACCAACTTTGTGTCTGGGTTAGAGACATGATATCAGAGCCCACTTTGTGCCTGGGTTAGAGACATGATATCAGGACTCACAAGTGAGGGGGCGTGTTAGAATATCACTTGTGAGTTGTCCCACATTGTTCATACATGGAAAATAGACCCACCTTATAAGACTAATGGGCTACTCCTCCTTCCACCAATTGGTTTTGAGATGGAACCTCATTTGGGCTTCATATGGGCTTTCCTAGTCCCCCAGTTTCTTACAAACCTGAACGACGTCGACCTTCCGAGAAAGACGAGTGTGAAGTAGGTTCAACCCAACGGCCGTGCAGCGAGGGCGACGAGCTTGTTTCGAGAACCAGCTTCACAAGGATTTTAGAATTTTTTGGAGTGGGCTCCTCGTAGGTAAATTTCCCTTCACAAATGTATTGATAAATCTTTGTTCTATGAAATAAGTATAATTTCAGTTTGATTTAATTACATTTGTTAGAAGTTCGAGTTGAATTATGTTGTGGTATGTACAATATCAAATTGGATTTTAGGTAAATGCCCTAATTTCTAAATTGAGGTGAATCTCTTGATTTCTAAATAAAATTTCGTTGTACTAATAGTAATGTTTTTATTTTAAACATTGATACGTAAGTGTGATGCATAGAGCAATAATGATAACAATATAAATCAAAGCAATGGAACAATATAGATTGGTGAGTATATTTTTTAATTGGATCTTGCGCATTTTCAGATCAGATAAGTAAAGACTCATCGCGGGATCGGTCACAACCGTAGAAAAATAGTCGGACAAGGTTGGGCTAGCAATCCTTCTTTTTGATCGTGACATAAATTCGAGATTTACGCCAGTAACAGAGTAAGTTTAGAGGCCTTGCTAGCATCTGAAATTGGAACCCCTGTTTTGAGTTCATGTTTAGAATTAGAGTGCATGAAAATTTAGAGTGTGTTTGTTTATAAAAATATTAATAATCATACTTAGTTTATACTCAAAATCTAATTCTATTTTAACTCGATAATACTATCCTCAATATTATCAATATAATTAAATAACCAGTACTAGCCCGTGCGATGAACAATACAAAAATTATAATCACATGCATTAAAGCAATGAATAAATATGATTCGTAACAAAATAGTTTTGAATATTAATAATTATATGTGATTTATTGCTTATTTTATTCGTTATAAGAAAATTGTCATTTTAGATCCATAAGTAAGGATAATAAATTTTAACATACTCAAATATTATCAATAAATGATACTCACATAATATTTCTCTCATACTCATACCTTGTTACAATATATTATTTTCATTTCTAAATAAGTTAGGTAAAGTTAAAAATTGAGACAAATATTATAATTAACACTTAAGTGGAAGATATTGTAAGATTAAAAA